GAGAGCGAGAGCGAGAGCGAGAGCGAGAGCGAGAGCGAGAGCGAGAGGAGAGGGTACGCGCATGTAGACTGGTTGCGTGTCCTAGTTCATGTGGGTTGCGTGTTGGCCACCTCAGTCCCCACCACACCAGGCTGTTGGACTCACAGCTGCAGTGGCCGTGGCCCTGAGGGATGCTGGACTCAGTTGGAGCCTCAAGGGTGGAACTCAGCAGCCGAATCTGACGAAGCTGAAGAGCGAGGTGCAAATGTGGTCGCTGCCTTCCACCATGATCATGTGTATGTTCCAGCTCACGAGGCACTGATCGCTGTAGCGGCACTAAATGCTTAAACATTATTCTGCAACAAAGTTTTGCTCTTCCGCAAGGCGAACCGTGCCGTCGAACTCCTTCAAGGGCTCGCAAGGGCTGAACCAGCGCAAATCGATTCGACAAATGTGCTGCCTTCGATAGTTGCTGTTTTGAAGCGAGTATAAATGCCTTTGGATTGTGTTTTTTTCCTCCCCTTCTTCAGCATCGAGACGCTAATTCCTGGCCCACAGCATTGTTGTGCGACATGAACTGCAACTAAGATTACAATGGGCAAGAAAGGAGCAAGTGCAACATCGTTGGTCTTATTGCAACGCTTTCTGTGCATGTCTGGTGTCTGCCATTACCCCAAGCAGCCAAGACAGCTATACAGAGAGAAGAGTTAGACTTTCAATCCTTGTTTGCAAAAGGTGGCAAACCATTGAACCATGCAAACAGATGTCAAGGAAGGTATGGAATGCAAGGAATGCGCGGAGTCCTTTCTGTGGAGCCACCTTTTGAACTGAGCTTGTCTTGTCCGCCGGATGCTCATGAGCAAAGCCTTTTGTTTCCTCAGCTGTGTTGTTTTCGCCCCGAGGCCACATGGCATCAGATGATGAGCTGTGGGATGCTCTTGAAGAAGAGCAAGGTGGAGAGGCGAATATGAGACGCGAAAGCTCCCGAAGATCTTTACTCGTCGTTTGAAGTCTTTTGTCGTTGGAGGTCAATCTTTTCGGCGGTTTCTGGGCGGCTCAAGCGGCTCAAAGAGCTGAAGCGGTTTTTTAGGCCCTCGGGGCCCTCGCGCCTGCACCCAGCGGGCTTTTGGAGGGGCATGGTGGGCAAGAATAGAAGGACAGCTTTGTTCGCAGCGCTAGCATTGGAGAATGACACCCAGGGCTTTTGATTGCTTTGTTCCCAAATTATAACTTTCTTGATCGAAGTGCGACTAACCGGATTCTCGTCTCGTGCAGGACAAAGTTCTTTGCTCAGAGGCAACAACTGCCATGGCCAGCTCCTGCTACAGCGTTGGTGGCCTGCATCTTATTCCCCTGCACTGTGGCACTTCGAGCACTGCAGGCTCTCTGGAAGTGGATGAAATTCGGAGAGGACATACGGGAGAATATGGGGAATGGCTTATGATGGCTTATGCATGTTCATAACAAGTGGGAAAAAGGCAAGACCAATTACACCAAGTGGAGTAAGGGATAGATAGACAGGGAGATTTGTTTTTGTTGGACTTGCTTGATGAATAGTTTTGCTGCCGACTCCCTACTGTTCTTTTTCTTGAAATTGACACTCTTGGGTCCTGTGCTGCTGTACTTCACCGCTACTTCAGGCATGCATCTCCTCGGGCATCATCTCCGGAGGAACCCCATTGCCCCCAGTCACCTTCCCTTGGATTGCATGGCCTGTTCTGATGATGGGAGCTCTTTGGTTTAGGCACTTGGAGGGAGCCTCTTGCTTGCACTCAAATTGGCACAGCAAGGCTTGAACGGCCTTCTTGGAACCCCGGTCTCAACTGATACTAGAAGCGATGTCCTCCAACCTGATAGCGATGGACTCCACCTAGACCTAGAAGCGATGGCCTCCAACCTAATAGCGAACTGATACATGCAGTTAAGGCTTGGTTCACATCAGCAGCAGTCACCGGACGAGCGATTGCGGCTGCTGCCTTGTTGGGCGTTTTAGATGGATGTTCGTCATCCTTGGATTTCTTTGTGACGCAGGGCTGTGGCAATACCGCCAATAGGAGCGGGCATGTCGACTTGGAATGTGAGTCTGTATTTGATCAATATGAGTTTGCTGTGATAGTTCCAAGCGCTTGCGAAGGCAGGGGGTGATACTGGCTGTGGTTCGAGCTGCTGACATTCCACTAGCAGCCGGCCTGTCCGCTGCGTTGATTGCATATCGTGTGCAGGTGTCCTACTTTGCCACAGCACCTGCTTTGCATTAGCAGACTTGTTTGCTTTATGAAATCAGATGCAGCGAAAGAATCCACTTGGAGATTGAGGTGAGCAGTGCAGTTCTCTTCTCTCTTCCCACAGCATTGGGTCTGGCTTCGGCTTCAATCCTGGCTTCCTTTGGAGAAGAGGCTGCAACGCCACTGATGCCGCCAACTCGTCTCTGTGGAGACAACCTGCTCTTTGCAGCTGTAGGAGCTGCTGCTTTATGTCGAGCCTTTCGTTGCGCTGCGGGTGCATTTCTGCTGCAACAAGCAGGAGTCGAAAACTCTTTGGGCGGGCTTTTCTTCGTCGGAGGATTCAGTGGATTCTTTGGTTCGATGCTGGTCTTGCCAATGATGCTTGGCCAGTCACACTTGGCTCTTAAGCCGTGGAGTCCATGGAGTCCCGATATGTGGAGTCCGTGGACGGAGTCAGAGTCGATGCGGTTGGATTTCGCAGTGATGACCGCAGCAGTTCTCTTCCTGGGCACTGCTGACACCGTTTCAAGGCTTGCTGTGCTTCGACATTCGGATGCCATCACTGCAGCTTCTTTGGATGCTGGACTGATGCCTTTGGCAACCCTCATGGCGCACAGTACAGGCAGCACCTTGGCGGATCGAGGCCTTTGGGTGCCCACCGAGTCCCTGGCTCTTGTGGTGCTTCTCTTCAGCTTCCTGGTGCAGCATCAACTTGCGCAGCACTCGCGAAGTCAGTTGGACCAAAACCTCCCAACTCACCCCGTGCTACTTGGCCGAGCACTCTGCAGTCCCGAGACGCAGAGCAAGTCGACCTATGATGGTCGGAAAAAGCTCAGGGATGTGTGAAGAGGCACCAGCACATTTCATGCAGGCAGGGCAGGACAGGACAGTTGAAGCTGATGTCAATGCTCTGTAGCAACAGTCAGACTTTCAGCACACTGCTCGCAGGCTTCCAACTTGAGTGCTCCACTACGCAGAATGAGCCACGATATGTACAGAGCCAGTTATGGAGAAGACATAGATGGCCTTTTGGAGCTTGCACAGAATGTCTTGTAAACCGATATTTTGTGGTGACCGTCCTTTGAATATATATATATATATATCTCCGTGTCTTTGAAGGGAGAGGCTTGTGTCACCTTGAGCCCTTCCAGCAACAGTCTGGGTTGCACAGGCTCATACCAGTCACTGTCTGAAAGTAGGAACTTCTTTATTGAGAGCAGATTGAATTCACTGAAAAAGGAGCAGAGCAGTCTTGGTCCAAGCTTGGCCACTTGAATGTTTCTATACATAGCTTTCAACGCTTCAAAGCAATTGTGCAGGCAGATGCGCCTCCGTGTGCAATGCTCGCTTGGGAGTGTTGGCAACTGTTGGCAACTGTTGGCGATGCATTTCATGTATCACTCCTTTGGGTCATGATCAGGGCATGTAGTGAGCCCCTAGTAGCTTCTTGCTCCTAGTAGTAAGGCCAGGAGCCCCTAGTAGCGTCCTTGCTCCTAGTAGCGATGCCAGGAGCCCCTAGTAGCGTCCTTGCTCCTAGTAGTACGGCCAGGAGCCCCTAGTAGCTTCTTGTTCCTAGTAACTGCATCTGGTCAGTAGCCATGTTTTGCCAGACCGCCGGCGACCGCATCTGAGCCTGCACCACCTTCGGAGCCAGCGCCGCCTCCCGAGCCAGAGCCAGCGCCGCCGCCTGAGCCAGCGCCGCCTCCCGAGCCAGCGCCACCGCCGGAACCAGCGTCGGCCAAGGCCTGTGCGAACCAACGCCACACAAATTGGCACAGCTTCGTTGGAACTAGAGAATTGCCTTTCAACTCTTGCCGAAGGCACCTCCACCGCCTGGGAGTCAATGTGAAGGCGCATCGCCAGAAAGCATACTGTTTGCCTTGCAGTAAGCTGTGTGTCAATGAATTGAGAGGATGCAAAATGCCTTTGGTAAGCTCTCCCTCGGCTTCCAGCTCGTCGGGACTCTGCGTGCCTTGCAGGCCCAAAACCATCCTTTGAGACCCTTGAGCGTGTATGGTATACAGAGTCTGGAAAACTTAAGATGCCCGGAGGTTCAAGCATGCAAATCCTTGGGTCCCTACAAAAAAACTGCTGTGCTGGAGCACACTCAAGGCTGGATGAGAAACCATTACACCAGACAAGCAACGCTGACTGGTTGGCTCACATGCCAGAGGCCGGTGCTCCAAATATCATCAAGTTGCCTGTGATGCCCTTTGTGGAGTACAGGTGCAGCCAACTGTTTGGTTTCTGTGGCCATTTGGTTCCAGTAGCGTCTGACAGGTCTGGCCGGTTGATACCAGATCATGTTCTGGAGGCGACCAAACTCAACATGTTGTTGGACCCATGCCAGGATTTGATTAACTTGTAGGTGTCAAAAAAGCCTGACTTGTCTATGTGGCAAGCTGATCTTTACCCTTGATGCTCTGTTCTGAAGGTCCGCTGCTTGCGAGTGGATGCACCTGAGTGGCGCTATGAGCTCGTGCACAGCTGGTCATGGCCTAAGCATGTGCCACATTAGAAGCAAATAGTCACAGTGACCTTCTTCTTGGCAAGAAGCTTCTGCTCAACGCACACTTATCCCCCCAAGAGAACACTAGATTCATTGCACGGTTGAATGTGAAATTTATGATCTGTCTTTCGTCTTTAGTCTTTAGCGCTGTCGTCTTTACATTGCGAGCTTATCGCGGCCCGCTATTTCTCGACCAGCCAGCCAGCCGGCCGGCCGGCCGGCCGGCCAAGAACCACGGTCTACTACTACTACTACTACTACGACTACTACTACTACTACTACTAC